CCAGCAGGTCGAGGCTGCGGTGGCCGGAGGCGGCCACTGCACTCCAGTCTGGGCGACAGAGTGAGACTCCAACTCAAAAAAAAAAAGAAATATATTTGGAGATGCTGCTATAACTTTAGATAACGTTTATTTTAATGTGTGACTTTGCTTTCATACTTTTATTGTCTAACTTGGCTGTACCTTCAGTCTATATTTCTATAGTCAGAACATTTCAGTTCAGTTTAGTAAAATAGAAAAAGTTGGTTTATATTCTGACCAAGAGACTTTCAAACTTGTGTGTACCAGAATCAGATTGGGTGCTTTTTAAAAAATGAAGATTCCAAGCCCTAACCACAGGATTCTGATTCAGTTGTTTAGTGTGGAGTCTGTTATTTTATGTTTTTTGTCAAATGTTATTTTGGAAATGTTGGCTCTATATTTTGAGAAACTCTGACCTAGGTTATGGAATAAAACCATTGTAAGTTAATTGATACGACTTTTAAAGTCAGTCTTATTGAGCCATTATTTGCAAAGAGTAAAATTCACCCATTTTAGTATATAGTTCTATGAGTTTTGACAGTGCATGTAGTCTTGTAGCCACCAGCACAGTCAAGATATAGAAAAATTTTATCATCTTGGAAAATTATCCTTTAACATTTTATAATCACCCTCCACGCTGTAGCCAGCCCCTGATAACTACTGATCTATTTTCTCTCTGTACAGTTAAGAATACTGGCTTCTTTTACTTAGCATAATGCATTTGAGACTTGTTATTTCCTCGTGGTTTATTCCTTTTGGCAGTCTCCTCTGTAAGGGGGGCATTTTCACTCCTTAATGCCACCTGGAGTATCACTTGCTGGCGATTGGCTCGCTGGGAGCACTCACTCCCCCAACCTGTGATTTCACCTGTAGCCAAAAAGAACCCTGTGTGTTCTCAGCAGAGTTCACTTCCCCACGTTTTTCCTTAGTATGTTGTTCGGTGAGTTGTAGAGGCAGTCCAGAATAGTGGTAGCATCAGCTCATGTTCAAAGGAGCTGCCAACCACATGGAAATAGAGATCTGTACCACTCTGGTGTACCACTGTCAGGCCTTTCAAGAGGGCATTTTCACTGTCAGTCTGATGGGTCTTAACTGGAAATGTTCTCAAAGGCCTTTTGCTTTTCGACACTGGCGTAGGTGTCATCGTCGTATCTAGCCAATGTCTGTCTCCATCACTGTTCAAAATCAGGATGGCTTTGACAATATATAGCGAGACCTCCAAAATCAACTCCTTACATTGTGCCCTGCAGCTGGTGCCAACACAGAACTAGATTATTGATTTCTTGAGTGACTTTTGTAGTTTGTGTTTTTAGGAAATCTGTTTCCTGTAAGTTGTCTAATTTGTAGACACACATTTGTTTGTAATATTTCCTATTCTTTTCATATCTGTAGAATCTTTAGAGATGTCCCTTATTTCTTTTTCCTTTTTTTTTCTTTTTTGGTGTGCTGTTCCTGGAGGTACTGCAATGCCAGGTCAATGCGTGGAGTGGATGGAGCAAGTTCCTATTCCATCTCCTAGTTCCAGAAATCTATTTAATATATTATCCTCAAATAGAGGACATAATCAGATATTACACTGATAAGAACAGATACTACACTTGATCTTAGCCAAAAGGCTGAGAGCGATTCCCCTATTTAATCTTCTCTTTTTTTTTTTTTTGGTCAGTCTGGCTACAGGCACATTAGTATCATTGGTCTTTTCAAGAACCTATTGTTTATGGTTTTATTGATTGTTATCTTTCTTGTGCATTTACTTGTATTAATTTCTGCTTTTATCTTTATTACTTTCTTTTGCTTGTTTTGGGGTTAATTTATTCTTTTTTCCTAGTTTCTTAAAGTTAGAACTTAGATCATTAATCATTAGATCATCTTGCTTTTTTCTACTAAGACATTAATGCCATAAATTTGCTTCTTGCCCTTCTTAAACTGCATCTCATGAATTTTGATATATTGCGTTTTCATTTTCGAATTTCTCTTCTTAACGTCTTTTTTGATTCCTAGATTATTTGGAAGTATATTGTTTAATTTCCAAATATTTTGGAATTTTCCATATATCTTTCTATTACTGATTTCTAGTTTAGTTGTTTTATGTGCAGGAAATAGGAAAGACATCTGTTGGATTTGTATGGGTGTGTGTGTGTGTGTGTGTGTGTGTGTGTGTGTGTGTGTGTGTGTGTGTGTATGTGTGTGTGTGTGTTTGGGTTTGGGTTGGAGTTCCACTCTGTCACCCAGGCTGAAGTGCAGTGGCATGCTCATGCCCACCACAGCCTTGACCTGCTGGGCTCAGGTGATCCTTCTGCCTCAGCCTTCCAAGTAAGCTGGAACTACAGATGTTTGCCACCTCACTCAGCTAATTTTTTGGCTTATTGTAGAGATGAGGTGTCACCAAGTTGCCCAGCCTGGTCTTGAACCTGTGGGCTCAGACAGTCCTCTTGCCTCTGCCTCCCAAAGTGCTGAGCCACTGAACCCAGCTTATGTTTTTATATTTAAAGTTGGTTTTTCTATAGACAGATATGACAGTCTGTTTAAATTATTTGCATTCAGTATAACTCTTGTTGTTAGTTATATTGTTTGTCCTGTCAGGTTCCTCATTCCATTTTTTCTTTTTTTCTGGCTATTTTTGTGTCTTTGTGATTCTATTTTATCTCTATAGTTGACTTATTATTTAGACTTAAATTTCTTTAATGAGTTGCTCTTTGTTCACTGTCTACATCTTTAATTAACCCTGTTCTACTGTCAATCAGTATTATACCACTTTACTTGTCTTGTGAAAACTATGTAACAGTATGCTCCCAGTTCTTTTTTCTTTTATGTTATTGTTATAGGTTTCTTTTTAGTTTTATGCCACAGATGTATTATACATTGCTAGTATTTTTACTTTATATGGTCACTTATCATTTAGAACTATTAAAAATAAGAAAAATGTCTTTTTGTTTCTCTTCATTTCATTCATTTTCATTGGTCTCCTTTTCTTCTTTGCAGGTTCAGTTTTCTTTCTGGTATTTTATTCCTTCTGTGCGAAGAGCTTGCATTAATCTTTTTTTTAGTATGTGTGTGCTAGTAGTGAGTTCTATCAGTTTGGTTAGTCTAAAAGTCTTCTCCTTCTTCGTCTTCTTTTTTTTTTTTTCTTGAGTTGGAGTCTCACTCTGTTGCCCAGGCTGGAGTACAGTGGCACAACCACGGTGACCTCAGCGTCAACCTGCTGGGCTCCGGTGATCTTTCCACCTCAGCCTTCCAAGTAGCCAGAACTATAGGCCCGCGCTACCACGCCCAGCTAATTTTTGTTTTATTGTAGAGATGAGATCTCACCAAGTTGCCTGGACTGGTCTTGAACCCATGGACTCAGGCAGTCCACTCGCCTCAGCCTCCCAAAGTGCTGGGATTGCAGGCTGAGTCACCAAGCCCAGCCTTTTTTTTTTGAAAGATTTTCTTTGGGCATAAAATTTAGGTTGACAGTTTTTCTTTTCAACACTTGGAAAATGTTGCTGCCTTAACCTAATAGCTTGCATAGTTTGTGATGAGAATTCTGCTTTAATTCCTTGTTTCTCTGTTTGTAATATCTCCCCCGCCCCAAGCTGCCTTTGAATTTTTCTGTTCATATTTTGCTTTGTATAGAGTCTGAGTGATTTTAC